AATAAAGCGCTATACAGTATACCATATAGCAGGAAATTTTGGAAGGACTAAAATTTGGTGAATTGCTAAATTTTGGTGATTGGTGAATTTTAATTTGGCGAATTTGTGGCCACATGCCATTGAGCATGCATATAATGGCTCAAAATGGCAGATTTTATTTTGGTGAATGTCTATTGAAATGCCAAATTCACCAAATTTAATTCCCTCAAAAATTTCCCGCTATATAGTATATATATATATATTATAGAGAGAGAGAGAGTGAGAGTAATAACTGTGACTGTAGTGTAATGTAGTTAACTCACATGTTCAGCTAGTCTTTTCTTTGAGTTCTGCAGCAATATCTTCTAGTGCTTTTACTAATGAAGCCCATGAAGGTGAAACACCATCAGCTCCTTCCAACCATTTTACAAGTGTCTCCCTAAGACGCCATCTGTCATCAAAATAATGATGTTCAATAACATTCAAGGTTTCAGGAAGTAAACACAATTGACCACCAAGATCACGCCACTTTGAGTCATTGAGATCATGATCACTTAGTAATAACCGTACTTCTCTTAAACAAGTAATGTCCAAAATATGATTTACTAAACATAATGCATATTAACACACACCATTTATGAATAAACATACCAATACTGCTCTCTTCCTGTGGCAAATTAATTCGACATTTTTCTACAAAAATAAACAATTAATACTCTTTCCATTAAAAACACATGCATCATTAACTCACTGCATATATCATCAGCTACAGTTTTTTGGCCTAATCCTTTAAGAGCATTAACAAGAGAGACATAGGTTGCTCCGCCATATTCATTCACAGCATCAGTTCTTTGTAGCCAGGCAGAAAGACACTCTCTAAGAGCAGCTTCTCTTTCTCTGGTATAACTGTGCTGTATGTTTGAGAGTGTTGGCTGTTTATATAGACCCAACTCTAGACCAAGTCCCTCCCAATCGCCATTAAAATGACATTCTCTGAGTAAATGCAGTACCTTTTGAAGGCCAGTGATATCAAGTGACTTTGAAGCTACAAGCACACAGTAAAAATATCAGTCAAACTAAAGTTATACACTGTAATGACATGCAAATGCACATGCTTTAATATTATTACCTTTAGTTGAGTTCTCAGCATGAGTAATATGGAACCAATTCCAGTACTTCTCTTGCCCACTGATAATAGCTGGCTTTCGGCATAAAGTGCATTCTACTTTCTCTTCAGCTTCATTTGTGACAATACAGTAGCATTTCTTTTCACATTTCTTTGTAGAACAGCAGGCAAAGGCAAACTTATACAGAGGTTTTAAGTTAATGGCCTCACTACTGCTGTGAATAGCTTCTGTTACTGCTTCGCAAATAAGTGGGCAGTATTTTAGTTGATCAGTTTCAAAATAAATCTCAATGTGTTTGTGTTTTTTAATAAAATGAATGGTGCCAATGAATTCGTGAACATGAACTCGAAATGATACAGCATCTCGACATCTTAGATATTCTTGCAAATCTGGAGGAAACTGAAATTGTGGTTGCTTGAATTTCATTAAATTGACAACTGCCAAAGGGAAAATTCCACGGGGAACAGGTAAAATTTCTTTAGTGACAGGATTGTGCCAGACTATTAGTAACGATTCAATAATGTTTGAGTCTGGAGACAGACCAGTAGATCCAAAAGCAGAACTGATAATACCAGTATCTGATTCTGGAAGAGAACCAGTAGATCCAAACGGAGGCAATGCAGAAGGAATGAAATAACCATCTTGTGTCTCAACGATAATGCATAGATGAAGCAAAAGCTTGATAAAATCAGACTTAGAAAATCCCTGGTCGTCATTTAACTTATCCAGCAGTGATTTGGTGAAAATACCTTTCTTACTGAGAGCAACCAGTTCAGACTCTGAGGGTGTCTCCCTTGTAAGGTGTCTCAAAAACTTTCGTTTAATTTTATAAGTAAGAGCTAAAAGATGTGAGAGAATATCAAGAATAGGATGAGGATCAATGAAGACTATGTTAGGTAAAACTTGAGGATAATAAAGAATAATGGTAACATTGTGAAGATGATGCAGAGCCGCTTTTGTATCATTTTCATTCAATTTAAGGCTCCTACCAATAGATAATACATCATTCATATAAAGGACACTGTTATTTCCTGCTTCCTCTAGCAAAGCCAGCTCAAAAGCAAACCATCGAACTGGCAACTGAATTGTATCATTATTGTCTGATGTATCATCATCAAAATCAAATATTGTATCACAAAGATTCTTGGATTCTTCCTGTCTTTTAGGGCCAGATTCAAGAATTGTATTGACTGGGTATATTATATCACCATTTTGTTCTGCAGAAATAATGCGATAGCCTTTTTCTTCAGTGCCAGATGTTAACGTTGATAGTGCTTCATTGAATTCAGCAATCTTTTGTGGTGTGACTTTAACATCATCACTGTGTGTACCTAGAACAAAATATTCTGGGCACTGATGAGTTGCAGCATCTTCTTTTGATTGTGGTGAGTGGTAAAGCTGTAACATAGCTCCAGAGGACAGAACGTTATTCAAAAATTCATTATTTGTATACGAAAAATTTGAATCACAAGAAAATGATGTTCCGTCAATTCGATATTGTAAATCAAGCTTCTCATGCATACCTTTAGAAAGGTCTAGTGTGATAATATTGAGAGAAGCTGCTCTAGTAAACAATGGCAATAACTCTTGAAATGCTGTCTGGCCACCAGAATCAACAATGTATACCAGATGACGATCTAATTTAGCTTTTGCTCTTGGAATTGCCTCAACAATATCTCTATAAAATTTAGATATGTATGAATGATAATCACTTGCTGCATCTGTTGATTCAGTTGATTCTGTTACTTTAGTCTCGGGACTATCAGTAGCTGAAGACTCTTCCTTTGATTTTGTGTCACGGTCTTCAGTGGGTGTTTCCTTTTGTTTTGTTGTAGCTTCCTTTAAGTCAACTGCCAACCTTGAACGAAGAGCTTTAGCATCAACTTCAATCATAAGACCATTTTCAATTGAGATTCTTGTAGCTTTGACAGCACGGCAAGCTATTGGTGTGCTGTTATTTTGGGGAGGTGGGTCTTTATTTAGTAAGAGGCATTGAGAACATGTTTTACCAGAACCAGGAGGACCAAGCATTTGAACACGTTTGACAGTT